TAATCATTTCTATACATACAGTCGATGGCAAAATGAAGTAATCAACGTAGGCATGGAAAAAATTGAGCTAAGTGTACTTACAAAAAAAAAATTTTATTTTTGCATATCTCGAAGCGGTGGATATTAGTAGCTTGAATTGATACTTGGTTAGCTTTAAAAGCTGCTTTGACCGCCTATGATCAATCACCGAGCAGCAGGACCTTGAAAGTTTGCAAGTCGGCGCCCTATATACCAAAGTCATCAACCTTGCCGTTATCTACAATTTCGCTCTTCTTTGTATTCTAATTAGCCTAAAATAGAAGTCTTCCGAGACGACCAAGAGTGAGGTGAGGCATTGCCTGTTCAGTTTCCATCGCACCAAGAGCGACCATCTCTGCTTAAAGCACGCCTCTAAAATCCGGAGACCTACACTTAAAGTTAACGGAGATTTGCTGATGCAAAACACTTCCTCCAACTATTAGGTTCATGCATACGTGAGTGTATTTACTGGATCCCTGTCCCAGAAGCTTCCTTTGTGACACTCACTCCTCGAAAGGATATGCGGATAGAGGGATCCAATCGGTAGGCACTAAATAATTTTCTAAGTTATGAATTCGAAGTTTCCAAATAGTTATTGTCAAGTGCTCATACGCCGGGTTAAGCAAGAACCTAGAGCTCCTTATACTGGTGGTGGTACGGGCTGAGTTAGCCTGGCCAGCAAAGTCTGCGGGTACAACGCTAAATGCTAAACTAGAGCGCGTTTTTTTTTGCGTTATAGCTTCTTAACTGATGTAAACTTGTCTAGCTGGATACTGGTTTCAAATAGTCAGCAGATTACTTTTGGAGACAGAGAATTATCTCTTCCCTATGGCGATTGTACCGCAGTATAGTCCAGTAGATGCTCCAGTACTTTACCCTGTCAGAGAATACTAGTTGAACCCCAAAAGAACATGATTTCTCACAAAAGTGCTTTCGAAAAGTGCCGCCCTCTAGAAGCTTTCCACTTTTTCGGAGGAGTTTCCTCCTTTAGCCTTTCTTATCTCGGATTTTATATACAAACAATCTGATCTCGTAGAGTTCCTACACGGAATGTAGAGCACACTTCTTTGCTTCATTACAGAGGAGTCTGCTTGGCATCATGAGTTCTGAGAGGTCCGTCCAATGCCAGGTCGGGTTTACTGCTCCTGAGGGTCTACTTTGCGGACACATCAATCGAGCACTCCGTAAAGAAGAGCTCTCTAAGTGCTGCTGTGCTGTACTTTCCTACAGTCGGGGCCCCACTCCGGTTTTTTGGAAAGGAAAAGCTTTTAAGATGGATTTCGTCCAGAGTGAAGTGAATATGTATATGTACCAATGATCTGAAAAGGCCTGAACATTGAGAACCCTCTAATCGGAAAAGAGGTACATCGGAAGCCAGGGTGCTGATAAGAACCTCAAACCTTGCCAAAGTGTCAAACGTGGATCGGAGATAATTAAAATGGATTTGAAAGGACTGAAGGCGAATTTTCTCTAGGCTGTAGATAGGCGGGTGGATTAGGTTCACGTCACTGTTGTTCAACTTTCCAGCACACTTAGGCCTTCAAAGGGGCCCTTTGTGATACCTTAGAGCTCTCGCAAACCCTTACTCCTCATGTCCCATTCTGGCCACTTGAGTTTGACTGTATTACTTGCACTTATGTAAGTGTTTGCACCTTGTACTTGCTTCTTTTAGGATGTCTAGCCTCTTCCAGGCCGGAGAGAGTGATGTGGAAGTATTCTTTCTTGCAAGCTCGCCAGCTTTCCCATTTCCTGGTATGTTACAATGTCCTAGTATCCATACCAGATGCAAAGCGCACCGAGCGCATCACATGAGGGGATTTGCGGCAGTTCGCTTTCGCATCTATATTTATCGGGACGGAATAAAACGATTTAATAGCCGCCTTGTTACTCAGGATATACTTATCCGTGTAGAACCGAATCAACTTCCATAAGCATACGGCTCAGCAACGATTTGAAAGCTGAAATCCACAGAAGAGGAGGTAGTCCCAGCAAGTTCCGCTCGCACTAACCTGTAGGTTAGCATTTGGTATATGATTGTCACCAACCAAGGATCGATACCTAGGCCCGTTAGCAGCTTGGTTATTTTGTTGCGCAATATGTTTATAAAGGCGCCTTCAATGTCAAGAAACGCTATCAGTGTACATTCCTTAAAGGCTATCTAGTTCTAAATGATTTGATTACGCGATGCGTAAAGAATTTATTTTGAGTTTCCGGGTAAAGAAATTTTACTGAAAACAGCATTTCGAATAATCTCGAACAAAAGGGAGTCAATCTTTAGTCGTTCAATTCTGTCCAAAACGCCATTAACCAAACTATCTTTAAACGACGTCGCGCAATTAGGTCAGATGTTCGTTTAATGAACGGTCACTGGAAATACACGATGATTTATACCGCAGTTACAGGAACGAGGAAAAGGTGAAGAGCATGGAAAACTCTCTCTTCCACTGTCCTGTTTTGTCCTAAATACGAGCACGTAACCTAAAATATGTTTTAAACGAATTCTTGGGTTCTTACAGCTTTGTGCACTGAGTTATTCATGGTGCAGAGTCCGCAAAAAAAAAACCCGGAGGCCGAGCATACTGTGAACTGCCATCAAGTTATAACTTAACAAAGTTTTATTACATGGCAGTTGTGAAGTACAGCACATAGCATGCATTTAGTTGCTTAGTGTTACTGGTCGCGCCTAAACATTACCCATTTAAAATGACTATCGGCTATGATTTTTTCATTTTGCCACCTACTGTACATATATACTTATGTGTATGAATATATGTGCATATATGTATGAATGTTTGTATGTACACAAGCTAAATAGGGTAAAGTACAGCGCGGTACAATCAGATGTTGCCGGTAACAATGCCGCTATACGAGAATAAATCTACTATAAATAATAACAAATAGCAAGAGCAACAACTAGAAGTGAAATAAAAAAAAAATGCGAACAATGAGAACATAACAAAGCCAGTCGACCGATTGAAGATACTTATATATATATGTATATATCGTAACCTGTAATGCTAAAAGGCGTAACAACAGCGTAAATGAAAGGGAAAAAAGTCGTGACTAATATTTTAATTTTTTTTTTTCATAAAATGATGTAGGGAGATGTAATTCGATGAAAACCATCAAATAAATCAAAAAGAGAATTTTGGATTTTTTATTAGTTATGACTTTTTGCATTTCAACGTTGATGTTTGTTACGTCTTTTTGCATTTTAGGTGACGATATGTATATATGTATACACACACCACCCATAATTGTTTTGGAATTTTTGACATAATTGTAGGTACATACTTTAGTACTTTTATTCTATTTTTAAAATTATATGTAAGTAAGTATATATGTATGTAAAAGCATGCTATATTTGTATGATTCTCACTACTAAACTGACAAGTCGAAATATGCAAACATAGCCGCTTCATCGACATCATAATCAGAGGCTTAAGTGGCCTAGCTTGCTAAATAGCGAGTGTTTAAAAGCGGATTAGCTTTCCACCTGCTGAGAATGCTTAGAATAACTAAAATGGCCATAAATATTCATAATGCGCATGGGTACTTATGCACATACATACATAGGTACATAAAAATAGCCATTTATATGTACATATATACCTACTTATGTAAATACATATATTTATAAGAAAGTTTGTTTGTTCCTTAGTCAGAGTTCAGTATCAAGTTCATGATGTTGGTACTGAAGGGCAAATGCATGAGGCAGGTTGCCAGATGTTGTCGTTAATGTCGTAGTTATTTCACATGCGCATATGTAATACATACATATGTATGTACAAAGGTGAAACTCGTAATCAGATGAACAATTAGGCAATGAGACACCATAATAAAAGTGGCAGCAGATAAGTATTTACGTACATATTTTATATTCAAAAAGCAATTTTATTTAATTGCTTTCATGACGCAATGACTGACAATTAAAACGCTTCTCACCACTAAAAAAAGCTCTAATTAACATAAGCATTTCAGTACAAAAAGGTGCCCTTTTTCCGCATATCATCTTGCAATTAAAGGTCATACTTTATATCTGTATGAAAAGGAACAAGAGAAAATAAGTAAAATAAAATCAAAACAAAACTTTCAAAGTTCAAAGTTCAAAAGTACATATGGTTGCTTTATAAAGATACGTAATATTAACATTAGGGTGATCCCAAAGCAAAGAAAAAACAGCTTTTTGCGAATTTTTCTGAATAATTACACTATGCGACAGTCAAAATCGGGATGGGATGAAACCAACGGGATATGTTATATCGGTCAAAAACAAGTTATACGTGTCCCGGCGTTTCGCTGGGTCACGTCTAGGAATCGAGATATATCGATTTGAAGTTAGTAACTATCATATAGGGGAAATTGTCACCTTTGGTGGTCTTTTTTTTGACATAACTCGAGAACCACTTGTCCGATTTTGCTCAAACAAATTTAAAAAAATTAAAAATTACAATTCCTTTAATCTGTTAATATAACGTTTTTCTATATACTCAACAGTTTTGCCGGTAAAAATAAATGTATGAAGAAAAAAAATATTTTTTGCCTAAAAATTAAATTTTTTTTTTTTAATTCATAAAAAATCCAAAACGTATTTAGGGACACACATAGGCCACGAGTTGGAGACCCGTTGTGGTACCAAATCTAAAAGTTTCCGCCTTGCTGAACCATTTTAAATCCTTGAAACGAAACTCGTCAGGACCCTAGGCTTTAAATCTCCCAATTTGTTCAGGTCACTAAAGAAAGAAGAACCCCCCCTCCAGAGAGCACAATTTGTCTCCTCCTCCTCCTAAATGCTGGCAAATAGGAATTTTTTTTGAATTTTTTTCGGCTGTATTGAAAGGTAATAACTTTTTCTCTCTTAAAAGCTCTGCCTTAGACGCTTATTTTTAGCTGCAGCTTCCAACTATTAGCATTCTAATTTCGCCATCGAAAAGTTTCACCCACATAATTAAAGTTTTCTTCCTTTTCTTATATACTTTTAGCGCTTCTCCATTAAAATGGGTCACAGTGCCACCGACACGACGACAACAAGTCCAGCAACAACTATGGCTGTTGCAACTATAGCGCCAATTACGGCGAAAAGCATTGAAGCAAGCGAGGAGACGCAAAAGAAGCCAGCATTAAGTTGGCGCGAAAAGTTGCAGAAGGTGATCAACAATATCACCGTTGAGCCCATATTGGCCGCGTACATTATGCCCAGCGTGCTGTCGGGCCTGGCAACGCAGAATTTGAATCTGGAAAAGGCATGTCGTGTGAATATGGATTACGGCGAAGTGGTGTGTGATGCACTCACAAGAAGAGACACGGCAAATTATACGCTGTAAGTGGAGCGCCATACGCACATACATACATACATTTGTACTTATTTTATGACTAATTCTTGTATCCCTACAGCGAAGAAGAAACCGTACAACAAATGGTCGCACGCATGGCTGCCTGGAAAACTGTGATACAATCTATGTTTCCTTGTTTGCTGATTCTTTTTTGGGGCTCATGGAGTGATCGACATCATCGACGAAAACCTTGCATTCTCATACCGATTATTGGTGAATTTCTCGGTACTGTGGGACTAATACTCTGCGTGTATTTCGAGCGCACACCCATGGAAGTGGCCGCTCTAACGGAAGCCATATTTCCTTCGTTGAGTGGTGGCTGGTTCACAATGCTGATGGGCGTCTTCAGTTATATAGCTGATATTACAACCGAAGAAGAGCGCACACTACGTATAGGCATATTAAATGTATGCTTCTCGGTGGGCGTGCCAATCGGCATGGCTTTTAGTGGCGTGCTGCTGAAGTGAGTCATCCACTGCAGTATAATTTCAGTACGTAAAATTCCGGTTTTACTTTGCAGAAAAATTGGCTTCTATGGCGTTTTCTCCATATCAGCAAGTCTCTACTTATTCTCTTTCATCTATGGTCTATTCTTCTTGAGCGAACCGCGTGCAAAGCCGGAAAAGACTGTACCGAAGGCGGAGCGCAAGAGCTTGTTGGCGGACTTCTTCGACAAGGATCATGTGGTGGAGACATTCCGCGTGGCGTTCAAGAAAGGCGAAAATCAACGACGTCAGCGTGTCATAATGCTGATGATAGTTGTTATGGTTGTCATTGGACCAATGCATGGTAAGATATTTTGGCCGAATATTTATTAAAGTATGTACAATAATCTCGTATATTAACGCAGGTGAAATGGCTGTATCCTATCTCTTTACGCGCTACCGTTTCAATTGGAGTGAAGTGGAGTTCAGTGTGTTTTCAACTTATGCGATGCTCACAGGCTTGGTTGGTAAGTAATTAATGGCCGCATAGGAAATTTAATTCGCTTTCATACTTAATCAATGCTTTTCGCTTTCCCCTTTAGGTGTACTCTTCTGCGTTGGCATTCTGTCGCACAAGTTGAAGATCGACGATGCGCTTGTCGGCGTCATCTCCAGCATGTCCAAGATTCTATCCAGCTTTGTGTATGCATTCGCTACCGTGCCGTGGCATATGTATGTTGGTGCTATTGTGGAGATCTTCAACGGCACCGCTTTCATAGCGATGCGTTCGATCGCGACCAAGCTGGTATGCAAGGATGAGCTGGGAAAGGTGAACTCGCTGTTCGGCGTCGCTGAGGCGCTCATGCCTATGGTATTTGCACCTATGTACACAACTTTGTATGCGGCTACGCTAAAAGTCCTGCCCGGCGCCTTCTTTCTGCTGGGCGGTGCGCTTACCACGCCTGCGGTGCTTATATTCCTGTAAGTTTCAAACTTGTTTTTTAGCCCAATTATAAGACTAATAAATTTCGATTTTACTCCTAGATGGATGTACAAATTCCAGTGCAAACAGCGACGCAAGCAAATTGCGGGCTCCTCCGATAATGAGGCGGGTGGCGGTGCTAGCTCAAAAACGGAATGTAATGCCGCTAAAGACGCCAACGGAAATATCAATGCGATTGAGGCGATAGCGTTGGCTGGCGAGGCAAAGGGACAGATGAACGGCATTTTAACGAATGTGATACATGAAAATCTGGAGCAAGCGGAACACGCGGCGGAATGTGCGCAACGAGACAAAGAAGCGCATGCTGCGCATTTGGAAGCTAATGGCGCGGACAATAAGGCATTTGAGGAAGATGAAGGCGAGTTGCGGCAACGTCAGCAGACGAAAGTGTAACCCATGGGGCGTTTGGAAAGCCGCATGCGAAAGTATTTTATATGTTATGCAACGTTTATGCAAATTATGGGGAGTATACTCAGTATGCTTTATTAGCGCGTGATGTATTATTTTTATTTTTTTTAAATATTTGCAGGTTTGTAAATTTATTATTATGTAATTGTAAAAAAATAATTCTACTGTATTTTTTATTACATACTCTTTAAGTAGCTTAAGTTGAACACTGTGCATTCTACTATTATAATAAAAGACACCAAGAAGTTTTTGTTAAAAAAAATTTAATTATATTTCCCCGCTTACGGTGCACCCGACGCTAGTTTGGGCAATGAATGATCCCGGAGCAGTCCTGAAAGGTCCCCGGTATATGTAGTTCTGATTAAGCTCCTAAACGGTCGTAAAAGTCGTGAATTTCTTCCGAAATGATCTCGAAGAAACCTTTAAACGATTCCAAAATGGTCTCTTATTAGCATCGAAATAATCCTGAACTAGTCCCGAAATGGTCGAAAAATAGTCCTGATGGCCTGAACTAGTCCTCAAATAGTTCTTAGATAATCTCAAATGAGCCAGAACTAGCCTCGAAATGGTCCTGCAATGTCTCTGAAATGGTTCGGAAATGATCAGGAAGTTATTTCGAAATGGTCCTCAATACGCCCGAAATAGTAGAAAAAAACATCAGATTGTACCAAAATGATCTCGAAGATGTCTTGAAATGGTCGCTTATTAGCACTAACAAAATTCCGAACTAATGCAAAAATGGGCCTAAAATAGTCCTGAACTAGTCCCTAAATAGTCTTAGACTAGGCCAAACAAAATCTCGAACTAATTTCCAAACGTTCCTAAAATAGTTCTGAACTAGCTTCGAAATGGTCCTGAACCAGTCCCAAAATAAAATGGCAGTCAAATTGCCGTGAACTAGTCCTGAACAGGTCCCAAAACGGTACTAAAGTACAATTTTCTGCTGGGTTACACTATAAGCAGTTACAAATTTTCTGCTGGGTTAACACAAATTTTATCCATACCGAGAGCTAAGATGTTTACACATCAAACCCAAATATTGTACCGGTATGTTCAGGTCGCTGGCATCTCTATGCTGTTTTACGAGCCTTTATAGTCGCTTTACTGTCTATAATATATGTAGCGGTGTTTGCCTTAAGTCGGCACAAATTGCATGCTCTGACTATATCAGAAAAAAGCTTTTTAGAGATTTACCAGAATTAGATCCTTCAACCATAAGGTACTTAGTTTAGCTACAAACGCACTGTGACCTTAAGATCTATTGTGCTCCCTTCATGGATTTATAGTGTGTAATCCAGTATCCGAGAGAAACTTTAGTATGGAATCTAAATCTAGGAATTTCACGTCGCCCTTGCTTATAAGATGTGCTGTGAAGTCTCGTTATCCGTCCTGAAAAAACTGCATCGGTCATGCGAGTAAATTCCGAGTTTGGTCAGGTGATAGTTCAGCCTGAAATTCCTGTCAGGCTTTCGGTAACAGTTCTAAGTTATTCTTGTTAATACTCCGGATCTTGTTATTACTCCGGTCAGTTTTGAACCTCTTTGTAAAGCTGAACCGCGGATGCATGGTATCCCTCGGTATTGCAGTTTCAGGGCACCTCTACGTAAGAATATCACACTTCCTACGACTAAGAAACCCTTCTGCCCCGATATTGCTACGAGTCATCCTTAGTAAAGCTCTTTTCGCCTGAGGGATAAAATCTGAAATATCCTCTAAGAATGCGGTTGGACAAGTTCTCATGGCTCCAATTATGCCTGCCTTTGTATCTTGGAGAGCGCTTTGATTGTTCCAAGTTGTGTAGTTTTATCGGCCCAAAATAATGACTCCATAAGCTATCATAGGTCACACTATCGTACAATCATACATACGATATTACAGCTTTCTTCGCAGTTTCTTCCACGTGTGCTTTCCAGAGTAGTTTTTGGTCTGCGTTTGCTCCTAGGAATTTAACCTCTGTTTGGTACATAATGCTGGCTCCATCTAGCGTTATTTTTTTTAGACTATCAAGTTTATATTTCCTTGAGAATAGTCCAATAGTGGTTTTTGCTGGATTTACATTCAGCCCCACTTTAGCACACCATTTTTTGGTTACGTTCGGCCCTAGCTGGATTATATACTATACCATTTTCGTTAAAGTTATTTATAAGATCTGTTAGGAAATTTCTTCTTGCCATCCCTCTGGAGAAAATATCAAATTTTATTTGAATCAGGCATCCCGCCCCCTCCTTACAGATTGATAAACATGTAATAGATACTTAATAAACATTGTGACGAACGTTCGAAAATGACCTTCTTTATCCATTATGAATATCGAACTGAGAGCGAACTGATAACCAACTTTAGTTTTCCAGCGTTCATAGTATTTATATTGGAAATACACTCGAATTGGGCTCGAAAAAAAGTGAAACATACACTGACCCAAAAGCACAATGGCTTTTTGAACCAAGTTAATGTTTGGTTTTTTCATGGTACCGATTGTAAAAAATGTGACTAAAGTTGAACATTTGAAAACAAATTCGTATGTCTGGCTGCAGCTGAAATTGTACTGGTGCTTGCTATTATTTTTTTGTTTCAGGCTGAATGACGTACGAATACCATCAGCGGAAACATATCGTTCTTATTTTTTCTGTTTTTTTTTGTTTTATTTAATTACGAAAAAGCATCTGTGAAGTGCAGTACCAAATTAAACGACGAAGAAAATTAATTGAGCTTCAAAATTTGTGGATAAACTTGCAGAAACGGCTGTGGCTGAGCGCGCAGAGATGCTTTCTGTTACGTGCAACGTGCTAAAATGATAATACAAATTTTTGTTTTATATCTCCGGATTATGAAAAAGCATCTGTGAAGTGCAGAACATTAGCGTATTCAAACGAAAAAATTGGCAACCAAAAGTTTTGTTAATGTTAACAAAGTGTGGTTAATATTACCAAATCATTGTTGAAAATAACAACCAAGGCATTGTTAATATTAATAAAAAATCACGTTGATTCCTTTTCAAGTTCGATTTTTGTTAATATTAACCAATTATTGGTTGATGTTTTTCTCAGTGTAGTAACAAGAGAGAAAGTGAACTCCAGTTCATTCTCGAAGGGAAATACATATAAGACAATCACTCGCTCTATCACTAAAATTTCAATTCGATAATGGGCTGGATTTCGAACTCATAAGGAAGGAAAATTACTATGGATAACCAAAGGTACCGTTTTGCCTAGTTCTCATTCTATTTCACATTCATTATCGAAGGTGAGACTTGAAAAAAATATTTGTTTTCCAGTCAAATATCGAATTGTCCAATGTTTATGGGGTAAGAAGTAAGCTTAAAAAATCATTTTGGACGAGACTATTTTTCAATCAAACAAGTGCCTTCTAATGGCTAAATTAGTAATAATAATGACAAAATTTTAACGATTTACATTTTTCGTCACAAACTACTTCACTTGCAACCGCACTTGCTAATTGCTTAATTTTGAGCCAAACCATGCATAAGCTATGTGATTAAAATCGCATTTGTTGCACAAAATTCGCCATCAACTGGCGCAAACTGGCGTATAAATGGCATTTCACTAGCAACGCCGCCACAACCGTAGCCGCAGCCGCCCGCTTATCGCACACCGCGTACACCTTGTTGCAAGCACGCCGCCACTTATTGCTATCAGCGACTTAATGAAAATTGCTCAATTGTTGCATAGCCAAATGTATGAAACCATGCAAACATATGTGCATTGAATGTGTGCTAGTATGTCGGCGGCACTCTTATCTACTGTCACATATGAACTCGCACACATATGTACATACATACGTGCATATGCATGTCTACATGCAGTGCCGCGCGGCTTCAACGCGCCGAGGGAGTGATGCTGAGTGTTAGGCGTGCGGTTAAATGCTTGGCGGTTATCCGATGATGCACGTCGCTGCTGCTGCTGCAGCTACATAATATGCGCCTTGTTGCTGTCATGAAACGTTATGTAGCGCCGGCGGTGGTCGAGGTGGTGTCGACGGCGTCGGCAATGGAGCAGTGTGGTCGTATTGAAATTGTCCAGCGTAATTTTCTGCCGAACCTAATATGTACGCTAGCACATACATATCAGCTGCACATTGACCGGCCGTACGGCGAGGGCACATAGGTGTGTGGCCGCCCAAAGCATATCTACCAGCAACAGCCCACACATTGTGGCCACATTCGACAGTTGCACTGATAGGCAAGCCACTTGCAATGCAATCTCTATCTAACGTGAACCACCAACTTGTAGCCTCCAGTTCGCAAGCGACGTGACGGTCATTGGGGGAGTGGAAGCCGCACCATGTCGCGCGCGCTGTGCCGGCTGCAGGGAGGATGTGCAGGCGCACAGGTTGAGCGGGGCATGTTAGGCGAGTAACCTGTATTTAACTCATCGATTGAGTTGCTGATGTTGCCGATAATTGGCGTTCATGGCAGGCGGTGGATCGTTCAACTTTATGCAACCGAAGCTACCGAAGCAGAAATGCTTTTTGTTGGGGTTGTTGCTGGTGGTTTTGCTGCACTTGATTACCAGTTAGCGTTGCAGGCGGGCATTCAAGGCTGGACAGACGGACTTATGCATGTATGTACATATGTGCAAGCCTACACATATGTGTGGTTATCGGCGATAATAACAAAAACAATGGGCGCTTGTACTCTTGACTTCTACCTGAATTTGCTGCCACATTTTTATAACTGCTTTCGGTGGTACCCATCACGGCGCTGCTGAGGCAGTGGATCAATGCTTTTCGTAGCGTTCGCTTTTATTTTGCAGTCGATTAAAAACGTTAACTGCGTTACGCCTGCCACAGCTAAAGGCACTATAGAGCCAATGCAACAACAACAACAACAACAACAACAACAATAGCAACCGAAAAAGCAATAAAACGTTGCATCAAAACGTGCACCGACCGATACTTTAATTAGTTTTTCTTTTGATATTTACTCCGTTTCGTTGCAACGCACCAGCGTCCCTCCCCACTGCATGTGGCATCTCGGCTGCCCGGCGTCAACGTCAATGCT